TTTTGGTGTTTGGGTGAAGAAGTATCTTTTCCTTTAGTCTGGAGGCAAGCAACTCGAAAGAATTCTTTGGAAGGTTCAAATCTCTAATAAGATTGCTAAGCTCTTCCTGAGTTAATCACTCAGGAAGTGTTGAATCACCTTCAAAATCACTGTCGTCTTCCTCAAATCTATTAGTCTGTAGTTCGTCAGATATCATCCTCTGATAACGTAGGTAGGCTGCAAAATATTGGATTGGGTATCTGCTCAAGCTGATGTGGAATTGGTCTTATTGCTGAATCTAGGTTAGGATATGTCCACGTATGTCGATTGTTACGATTGATGCCCTTTATATTCATAAGACAGAAATAGCAATCGTCAAAATGATTTTTTGGTTTTCTCCATACCATGGGAACACCAAACTTCAAACACTTTCGTTGTCCTTTCATCCACTGTCGCAAGTTTTCAAGACAAGTTTTGCAAACTACATGTGGAGCCCCGGATTTATCTTGATTTCCTGAATGAACACCTAAATAGGCTTGATATGCTTTTTTTATAAAATCACAAACTGGTTTTCTACTTTCCTTTATAATGTACTCGCCACATAAGTAGCAAAAAACGTTCGGGTGATTCACACAACAACGCCTGCTTGTAGAAGCCATGGTTTTCATTTGTCAAAAACAAACTCTTGCAACGAAACTCAAGTTCAGACTAAATTTTGCAATAGAATGCAGTCGACTTTATAGGAATTTATTTATTAAGGCCATTTCAGAGAAAATACTATTTACTTATCGGACAATAGGTAAGAAGCAATTAGCACTAATTTCATATTATGGGCATTTCCAATAAGTACACTTTAATTAAAAGTCATTAAAATGCATTTGTTTTAGAATTTTAAGTTTGTTCATAGACAAATTGAAATTATAGTGATAGAATATACAGAAATGTAATAATATTTAAGTATTTGATGAGTATTTTATATCTCAAAAACTGGAGCTGATTGATACAAAGAAAAGGTTTGTATTTTTGGAATCAGCACAGATGAATTAACCAAAATCAGTTGATTTTTTTTTCGGCAGCAAGACAAAAATTTTTTTCGGTGGGCTGTGTTATTTGTATATATCATTCATATCAAATATATCCCTTTTTCAATGAAACGACCCTCTAACGGCAAACCTTGGTTCAACAAAAACTGCGAGCAAGCTGTCGTCTCCAAAAATCTCGCCTACCGGCAGTGGCGCAAAAATCCCAGTGTCGAAAATCTAATCAAGTGTATTAATGTTCGCAACAGCTGCAAACTTAGGATAAATGAAAGAGAATTGGAATGAATTGCTTGTCAATCCCACCGGGTCTAGGTCCTTCTGGTCGGTAGGTAAAGCTGTTAATTAGAACTTTACTAAATCCACAATTCCATCACTAACATAAGCTGGTGGTTCAAATGCAACAACAGCCATAGAAAAAGCAAATCTACTAGCTGAACAATGTGTGTCCCACTCCACAGTCGATTTTCTGGGAAAGGTAGCACCTACTGTTCCCACACTGAAATCCACAATGCCGGAAATTGTTTTTCGACAGCCTCTATTCAGGCGAATTTTGAAACAGCTCAATATCAACAAGGTGTCTGGCCCTGATGAAGTGCCTGTCATCGTACTTGAAAAGTGCGCAAATGAACTCACACCTATATTTTGCAAACTTTTCAACCTGTCTCACAAAAAGGGGATTTTCCAGTCTCATTGCTTTCAGTGATATCAAAAATCATTGAAAAAGCCGTAAACCAGCATATCCTCAAATATTTGGAAGGCTCCAACATCTTGAGCGATTATCTATATGGTTTTAGGAAACAAAGATCAACAGGTGACCTTCTATCGTACGTCATCCATATTTGGAATAACACAGTCGAGAAACATGAAGAGTTAAGAGCTGTTGCACTTGATATTTCTAAGGCGTTTGACCGTGGGTGTCATAAGAGTTTGCTGGCCAAACTTTAATGCTATGGCTGGTCGGACCATTTTTGTGTATGGCTCTTCAGCTTCCTGAAAGAACGTTCTCTGCAAGTAGTTGTCGGTGGATATCTCTCGAATACTTTCACCACCAACACTGGTGTTCCTCAGGAATCCATATTGTCTTTTTAATCTGAGACTTTTTGAAAAAAGAAAACAAGAATCCAATATATTGTTTTGCTGACGACAGTACACTCATTACATTTGGATCCCAGAACGTTGGCTGCGGAAGCATATCTTCACCGGCAGCAGAAGGTTGAATATCCTAATGAGGATCTAGAAGTAATTTTGAACTGGAGTGAAAGTAACCAGGTTCAATTCAATGCCACAAAAATCCAGGAATCGGTTTCATCCAAGAAGATAATGTCTCCAAACCGGATATAATAATATCAGGACAGACAATTCCGCTTTCTGCTTCGATAAGTTTTCTGGCAGTCAAAATGGACACCAATATGTCTTGGCACAGTCATGTCGCTGGAATTGCAAAGACTGCTTCTTAAAAGCTTGGAACACTGTTCCAAACCAGAAAGCTGTACACACCTCAGCAACTTTTGATGCTTTATAAAGCTCAGATCAGACCTTCTTTGAAGTATTGTTCACATGTATGAAACTTCGTCCCTAAGCATACATTGAAGCTGCTGGATTATATCCAGAAAAGAGCCGTCTGTCTGATTGGAGACACGATCATCACTTGCAATCTTGATAGTGTGGAACATCAAATAAAGGCTGGATATTTATCTCTCTTCTTTAGATACCTTCACGGGAAGTGTCCATGTGAGTTGGCACATTTTATTCCACCAAGAGCGGTACATATCAGAGATACGCGACGGACTGTGGCTGCTCATCGTTATGAGGTTCAAATCAGTACACCTTGAACTTCACTGAATAAGAACTCTTTCATTTGGAGAACTGCGTTCATGTGGAATAAACTTCCTGAGAACGTTTTTCCAAATAGATTCAATCTCCAGCGTTTCAAATCCAATGTTAATAACTACTTTCGCATAGTTGTTTGAAATGCCTTTTGTTGAAGTCAGAACAAGAAGATAATGTTTCCGATTCCGTTGTTTTCATCTGATAACTTTTGAACGATCTTGGAAATTTTTATTCAAACTCACTATCGCTACTTCTCTCTGCAATTTATTTCGATAATTGCGAATAAAAACCATGCTAACTTTCAAAAATCAAAATGTCAATTTCATTTGCGAAGAATGAAAACTCATAGTAGTCTCTACAATTTATTATCAACCTCAGATGTTACAACGTAAAACCATCAATCAGTACATGTTTCGAACCTATATAGGTTCATCTCAGGTAATTATTTGAAAATTCTACAATAAAAGAAGAATAACATAACAATATCCAATGAAGTATAAACACTTACATGGAGAAAAAAGTTTATATTAGAAAAAAGAAAATTATCAGATGTTACCAAATAAATAAATGGCCACAATGGCATGTTAATAGTAATGACCATTTATTCATTGGTGACATAAGTTTCTTCTCTCCATTATAAAGTTTTTTTCTCCATGTAAGTATTTTATACTTCATTGTATCAACTATTGTTATGTTGTTGTTCTTTTATTGAAGAATTTTTAATAATTAGCTGATGATGAACCTATATGTTGGAAACATGTATTGATTGATGCTTTTACCGTTCCAAAATCTAAGAATGAAAATGAATTATGAAGACGACTTTGAGTTTTTATGCTTCGCAAATCTGCTTCGAGATATAATGGACTTCTACCACAGGTTAAATAAGTGTTCTACTTTCTGTAAGAGAAATCGTCCGGGAAATGGAAACTTTTCGGAGGGTTTCCAAAAAATCACTCGTCCTGAAGGAAATCAGAGTTTTTTTCAGTTTGTGGAAGGTGAAACTACCCAAAAATATCTAAAAAAGTCAGTTTATTTTCATAAAATGCCTATATTTGATCCTTTGGAACTAGTTTTAGCTATTAGTTCTACCCGGTTACTCGGAAAATAGCTTTCACACAGTATTCATTCAAAATTCTCAAATGAAAGAATGGGACATCAGATTATGAATGAACATTTTTATTCCAGAAAAAATATCATTTCACGAAGTAACTAATCGAAGTGAATTAGAAGTTTGCTTTTTTCTAACTTGTATGGAGTTATCAATACATGATCTTCATTTATTCAGCTTGTGGAAAGTGAAAGTCTCTGAAAACATTAACACATTTTTTGAGAAGGTGCAGATATAAACCTTCATTTGTGAAATTATAAAACAACAATAAAAATTAATTGGCGCTTCGGGGCGACTTCATTGATTCCAGTGACGCATTTGCTTTTTCAGTTGCAGGAAAACCCGGAAAAACCTACAGCACCACATCATCGGAAGATATTGATCTGCAAATTGAAACGAATGGCATAACCTTAAAGAATCAGCGTATGTTGCTATCTGGCTGGAAGTTAAAGAATGGCAATGAACATGTTTCAAAGAATTACTTTTTCTACATCTAGTGTTTAGACGACCAAAAACTTTGAAATGTTTGACATTTCAAATTTTCTTTGACATTTGTCGAAATTTGCAAAAAATATGATTTTCAATTCTGAATATCAAGCCAGATTTAGGTTCCCGAAACGTCAATAAAAGTTTTAGCCCATTTTTTCGATAGAATAGATAGATTTTGCGTCAAATTACTGAACAGAACATTTTTCTTCCAAAATAGTATGAATAACTTACGCAGTAACTAATCGGGGTGAACTAGAATTTTGCTCTTTTTACACCTATTTGAAGTTTTCGTTCAGATATTTCTATATTTTTCAGTTAATGGGAAGTATATAGACACAAAAAAGTAAATAAAAATACCTACTTCACGTTTGACATAATTTCAACAACATACTAATTCTGATTGTGTCAAAGTCTACCAACATTCAAATATAATATGTTCATCATTTAATCAACAGCTCAGATCCTCTTGAATTTAAGTATTTTATGAAGTTGAGGGTAGATAATCGAAGGGAATGAAAGTTCTTGCTACAAATCTAGTCATTGAAATATCTATAAAATGTCGAACTGCAAACAACTTTATTGAAAACATAAAAAATGAATCTTACAAAAAACTATCATAACAACAACTCAGAAACATCGATCCTCACTTGGGAATATTGAATTCCCCCCATCCCAAAAAGGTATACATGAGAGAAACCAATTCATATAGGTTCAAACCCATTTTGTCCCATTCCTTCATCATTAGCCCGATTTCTGGAACATTGATCACGTCCTCTACAATCTTTTTCGACTCCTCGCTAGATATTTTTTCGAAAAATTCTTGGAAAGCCTTGCTCTTCATCATTTTCTCGTGGAAAGCACCTATTATCTTCGTCAGTGGAATAGCTTTCTGCATGTCTTTTATGAATGGAATTAGACTTCTGGTTGCGTTATCAGAAACTGTCACATTTGCATTCAAAATGAAACCCTCAGAGCAGTGGATGAGGGTGTCTATATCGACACCAAATTGCTTCGTAAAGGTTTTGAACGCCTTCCACTCTGGTTTTGATTTTACAGTTTCAACTAGCAGGATCCACTCATCACTTTGCATGTATTCAACGGCAGCTTTGAAGCTCTCGTCGGTTTCTAGATGTTCTTCAGCAAGTTTGGTTATTTGGTCTCTTGGTATCAAAGCCAAAATGTCCTTGAATTCCTCAGAAATGGGACGAGCTGTTGTGGCTTCAATGACTACTTCAGCAATCGATATTTCAACAAAGGGTTTTGGCCAAACTTCCATACCCAATAACAGCAGCATGTTGGAGAAAAGGACCCACTTCATTTTTCTGAATCACTGATATTATAGATATATATTATTTTATCAAAAAACTTCCGCTCCAAACGTTTCTGACAGATGTATCGGTAACTGTTGATGATAAATAACGTTGCTATGGAGACGAATCGTTTTGTCGAGCTGTCGGAAATACAAGGCTATTGAGTTTATGGAAATTGAAACCAAAATGTGGGTTACAGAGTGTTGCTGTTCTTTGTGGAAAAGAGGCAAAAGTGTCAATTCTGCCATTTCAATGAAATATAACGTTATTTCTTGATGGTGAAGGCACAGAATATAGTGTAGTAATTGATTTGAAAGAATATTTCTGGAAAGCTTTCGCTTTCATCGCAAAGAAGATGAGTGCTTTTGAACTTTAATAACGTCATGCTTGCTTAGGATAGATCCAAAGTGAGTGGGTCTATTCGACCCTCCACCGCAACTCGCAAGGGTTTATTGTGGCTCACAATTATTCACACTCAACCAAATAAACACAGCTTCATAACGAAGCCGATTAGTTTTTATGGTGGGTGGTATTTCAGCTCAGATGGTAAGAGCACGGCTCTGACGAACTCTATAAACCTGATTCGGTCCCCAGCGGGGCAGGCACAAAGTATGTGCTCTGCTGCTTTATCATTTTCCAAACAGAGGCGACACACACTTACTCCGACAGTCCGAGTCTCTGCATATGATGATTCAAATGACAATGACTTGTAAGAATGCCTGTTAGACATCGTAGTTCATCCCTACCGTAGTCTAACAACTGTGTGGTATCAAGCTTCGAAGGGTAGACGAATTCTGCCAGAAGTCCATAAATCTTCTTGTCATCTAGGTGTTCAATCTTTGTTTGGAAAAACCTTAAGCGATGCCAATGACAGGTTCTGATCCGATAAAGCTGCTTGCAGCACCCTCCTTTGCAAGGGAGTCAGCAGCTTCATTGCCTTCCAGGTCAGTGTGGCCAGGAATCCAGACCAGAGACAATTTGTTAACTCTTCATATTGAGGAGAGTTGTGGCATTTTGATACCAACTCAGACGTTGCTCGGTAGGAACCAAGAGCTTCCAACGCGCCGCTTGACTGTCCGAGAATATTTTTACTGACTTGTGTATGAGGTTGGATTCTCCCAATTCAACTCAATAGCGTAAATTTCCGCTTGAAATATTGAAATACAGTCATGCATAACTGATTATTGTTATATAAATGATATTCATCTGAACTGGCATAAAGTAAATGATATGTCATTACAAATAAACGACAATCTCTGACATATAATTATGTTTTTGAACGATTTGATGAACCATACAATCAAAATTTTATCGCGAAAAAGATAAGAAGGTCTATTCGTAAATTTAACAACTTCGTTCAATACCGATCATTGTAATATCAACGATATTCATCTAAAACGACATTCCGTGAATAATATGTCGTCACAAAAGTTGGTTTTGTGTTGGTGTTGTCTCAGAAATTTGGTTGTTACAATGTTTTTTTTTTAATATATTCAATATGTCTTATGGTTTTTAAAGTAGTAATATTATCAACTACTTTTCAAGCCCTGAAGGAGAATTTAATTAAATTCGAAATATCGGCAAAAAAACAATTATTGTTTAAGAAAAAAATTGATCATCCCACACAGCACTAGATATTCATGGAATATTTCCTGTATATCATAAAACGAACGTATATATTCCAAATATTCATAGAATATTCTTGGAATATATACATGCTTTTAGAATATTCATAGAATATGCTTGAATGAATATGGCAGGATTATTCCCGAAAGAATGTGCATAGAATGTCTATAAATGCATTATTCTCCCTTGAATATTCTAAGAATATTGTCGATCGAATATACCATATGGTATATTCTTAGAATATATCCCCACGGTATATTTTGGAATATTCTATACAATGGAATTCTGAATCATCTTATAATAACGTATTCAAATAATTCAATATTATTAAAAACAAAAATATTTGAAGATCTTAATCGAATGCATAACCTAATGTATATAACCCTGATAGTGTTAACCAGTTTTTGAATTCAACGCGAAGATTCTGGATGAATTGCTCCAACAGCAACTGTTGGAAACGACAAAAAAATTTGAATGGGCCAATAAATGAACCAATTGCATCAATAAATTGGTTAATTCTCATCCTATTTGTCTTTTTGTATTTGAAATTATTTAATTACAAAGCGAAAAATCCTGGAAACAGAGAAATGGGGAAGTGAAGAATTGGAGTAAACGTTTCTCATTGGTCAATTGAAGTGTAGCGCGCGACAGTCGAATAAGCTCTGTGAAAGCGGCTGTCCCTTAATGCAAGGTACATTTGCGTTAAATTCGACATTTGATTCAACATGACGGTTGACGTGGCAGGTTCGCGTGTGTAATGCATGGTGTGTTGGTGTTATTATCAAAGTATAGTAAAATGCAATAGTATCGATAGTAAAGTCATGGTGATTAACCTACTATACATCATTTTAGGTTCGAGGAGAGTTGGTGTGTGGGATTTGTTGGTTTGACTAAGTACATGTTTGAACTAGAGTGGTTTCAGTTGTGTATTTTCAATAGAGAAAAGTAAGTGAATGACACATTTTTTTGTATCATTTGTTTTCATAATTTTTATCACTCGTTTTCAAGATAGTATGAATTTGCCCAAAAGGAAACAGAGTGGTACCTGGTTCAGGCAGGTGCGCCAAGGAACTGAAAACGTAATGAGTACTTTTCAACAAGACAATGCAAGTTGCTCTCCAAGTCATAAAATGTTGTAAAAGTTCATGAGTAACCTATGCGAAAAATATCTATTTGATTTTTATTCCAGTTGTATTGTGCCACTTTGAAATAGTGATAATGAACGTTAATGTACATTTTGTTTCAGGTATTACTATTGAAACACTGGCTGATGCATTGTTGGACAAATATAAGGAAAACTATTCTGGTGAGCAAAGTTTGGATAAATTTAAATAAAGGAAATTCATTGAAAAACCCATCATACCACCCATTTTAAATACTTCATTTGTGGGTTTATTTTCTTAAGTGAGAAACCTAATCTAACCTATTTCTTGATGTAATACACTTTTTCTTTTTCGAAGAAAGGATATAGTCATTATTTTTTAATTAGTGCTGATGAATTCACAGAGTTGTTATTTTAGTATATTTTTTACTATACATTTGTTTGAGAGTAGGAACTTCCTAATTTGAATACATTTCTAATATTTGTAATATGACAGTATTCAGGAATATTTTATTCAGTGAATAAATATTTTGAATTAGATTTTTTATTTTTAATATTGGAATATATATATCCATGGCATATTCATAGCGTAATACAATATCCTTAAATGTATATTCATGAAATATACCTGGAATATCTATTGCTATGTGGGGTGTTACCCAACCAACCCTTTTTTCAGAAAAATTATTGGATCACTAAACTAATTAACTATTATTTCCTATGGCATTTATTACTTTCTCTTTCTTTTTTTGTGAATACTGGAGGAGTAGGGAATAAACAAATTTTTTATAAAGAATGATCCACTTGTAAAATTTTTTTAATGAACTGAATTTACTGAAAATAGCATTGGTGCAAATAATTAGATTCCTATTTGATGTCACTATAATGAATATATTCTATTTTCTCTTCAGCGTTTTAATACAAATACTTTCTTTTTGAAAATAACTCCCCTGAGACCCTAATTTCAAGAAGAAATTATATTTGTCAAAAGAATCTCAAATTCGCAGTGTCCATTTGTATGAAAAATGTATACCTATTTCAATCATTCCAACATTGATTATGCAACGAGTAATACAATTTGAGGTAGTAGAGGTTTTCTACTAAGGATATACTTTCTCAGCAAATCATTTTAAGTGGAGTAGTATAAAAAACAGTATTTGCTGATAAAAATGGAATTTATTTTCAATGTTGATAAAAAAATTTAAATTGAGTTTTTGAATGAAAACTTTTGACACCGATGATAATCATTAAGTAAAAATTTATTGAATTAGCATGATTCAGAGAGGTTGAACTGCGCCTGCAATTTTCATCGTTCCGACGTTTCGGCTCCTACTTTGGAGCCATTCTCAAGAATCACTTACATTTGTACTTACATGACTCGAGGACGGGGCCGTAATCTCCCTTGTCCCCAAGTCTCGTTACTAGTTCTATGTTTGCTGTGTTCCACTCTAAGTTCGTACTGATCACTCTGTTGTTCGGGGCCCATATTTATGTTGTTATAGCAGGTATCTGGTTTACCGGACCGGGTACCTGAGTTATTTTCAGGTATCTTGCGTGACAACAATGTCTTCCATGTTTGTGGTAGTCTCTGCGAATCATCTCGTTTTTTAAGGCACTTGGGGCGTTTTTCAATTTCGATTGCTTCCCGAATTATCCTGGCCCGAAGATTTTTCTCCGTAGCAATGGTCTTGGTGTTTTCGAAGCTTATTATGTGGCCTGTTTCCTGGTGGTGTTTGGAGAGAGATGATGCTGGATCTGATTTGCGAACAGCTAGTTCATGTTCATAGGCTATGTTGGGAATTCTTCTATTGGTCTGGCCGATGTAAGTTCTGGGGCAGTTTGAACATGGTATTTCGTATATGGCCTGTGCTTCATTGCGTATCGTGTTCTTGGGTGTTCTTAACATAGTGAAGATTTGGTTGTTGTCTGTGAATACTGTCTTTACGTTATGTTTCTTCAAAATTCGACTCACTCTGTCAGTAACTCCATGGATGTAGGGGAAAAAAGTTTTTGTCTGGTTGGTCTGTAACTCGTAGGGTGGGGTTTGTGTTTGCTGTGGTTGGATGGATCTTTGTATTTGGGAGACGGGATGGTCGTTTTGTGGTTGTCAGTGAGTCTTATAGAACGATGTATGAGGGAATTCAGAACGGAATTCAGCTAGGCAGGATGTTGATGGGCATTGAGGTAGCGGTTAGTGTAGATGGGTTTCCAAGTCCCATCATCATCCTTCCCAACTGAATTCCGTTCTGAATTCTCTCATACATCGTTCTATAAGACTCACTGATAGCCACAATAGATCCAGGGAACTATACAACGATATTGTGGAAGGTGAAGAACTCTGCAGAGCTACATAAAAAGATATTATCTGATTTGGAATAGGTGAAAGATTGGTGTGATGCTAATTTATTATCCTTGAATATATCCAAAACAAATATAATAACATTCAAATGTTTGCTAAATGAACAATCAATAGAAAACAAATTGATAATAGGCCTAAATTCGATGAACACGTCAGATAACTTAAGTGTAAAATTTCTTCCAGATGTTATGGTGAGGGTCGTTTTTAATGAGTTGGGTTTTCACACAGCAAAAATGGTTTACTACGCTTCAATTGAATCCCAGATATGGAATACCATTTTGGGGAACATGCAGTGCAACCCTTCTCTCTTCTATGTTGATATTATAGAAAAGGAGCGTAAGGTGTCTTTGAAAAGTTAAACCTAGGGAATCATGCAGAAATTATTTTGCGACCAATAAAATTTCAACTGTCATTGCAATGTTTATTCTTGAGACTTTATGTTTGGTGTATAAACATAAAACAAAGTTTTATGTATATAGCATATTTAATATCAGATTTCCTGTACCTAACTCAACATTAATCAAGGATTCCATTTTATATAATGGTGGAAAATGATTCAATAACTTACCAGTAGATATAAGGCCTGCAAATCTGACCAACGTACAATTCAAGAAAGCAGTTAGAAATTTACTAGCTGATAGACCCTATTATAGCCTACAAGAGTATTTCAATGAATCATTTAAAAAAAAACATGAATTCCATTTTATTTTTATTTTTATTGTACCTATCAGTACTTGTTTTATTCAAACTGTTGAAAATCAACAGTTTTTATCTATACACCATTAGTTATGTTTCCATCAATTTTGGGACAATTTTATCACATATAGAAGGTACGAAAATTTAACTATACTGATTAACCAACTATTTCAATTAGATATCTGCGTAAACAAATAGTTAATGAATAGCATACGTTCAAATATTCGGGTTTCAACTATTTTACAGGTCTGCAGGTAAGCAAATTGTTCGCTCAGTAGACATTGCTCTCGTAATTTTGTAGATGACAGAAAGTCCTAGGTATAAATCTCGACCAGATTATTCATTTTCGACAAAACAAATTTCGAAACCCCACCCAAAAATTTCACAATTCTCTAAAATTTGGAAATGAATGTTGAAGGTCGGCGGAAGTTTTTGCAGGTCGGGTCTCCCAGACGTGAGTCACGGCGAGAATAATCATTTTCGACGAAAAAAAATTCAACCCCCTTCTTTGAGTATTTCACAATTCTCAAAAAATTGAAAATACATTTTGCAGGTCGGCGGAAATTCTTGCAGCTCGGGTCTCCCAGACATGAATCTCGACTAAATTGATTATTTTCGACAAAAAAAAATTCCGACCCACAGACATGAATTTTTTCATACTCAAAAGGTGGGGGTTGGGAAAAAGAATAATCTGGTCGAAATCCATAACTGACAGACCCGACCTGCAATAATTTCTGCCAACCTGGAAGGTTTCTTTTCAATTTTATAAGAAATGTGAAATTTTTTCATAGGTACTCAATAAAGAGTGAGGGTTCCAAATTTTTATTGTCGGAAATGATCAACCTGGACGAGATTTATATCTGGAAGATCCGACCTGCAGGAATTTTCGCCGACCGTCAAAATGTATTTTCAATTTTTTGAGAATTGTGAAATTTTTGGGTTGGTGTTCGAATTTTTTTTTTTTTTCGTAAATGAATAATCTAGTCGAGATTCTTATCTGAGAGATCTGACCTGCAAGAATTTCTGTCCTACAAGATCACGAAAGCAATGTCTACTGAGAACAATTTACTGACTTGCCGACCTGCAAAGTAGTTATGCTCCAAATATTTTGCAAATATGCGACAGCAAAATCGGCGTTTGAAAACGCCGATTTTTGAAATTTGTATTTCTGTTGACCCCAATTTTTCATTACCACAAAAATGTTCGGGAAGAAATAGCCATATCATCCTATATGACAATATTATAAAAATCGACTATTCAATTTTACCTCGGTTACTTTGGCAATAAAGTTCAGCAATATTTCGTATTTTCTATTCTCTTTTCCGAAACAGTGAAAAATGTAGTTTGAAGGCATCATTAATATTTGAAATGACGAAAATTATAGAAAATAGTGGAAACTAAATGAAAAATCCGAGTCGGGGGCGGTATACCTCTGTCAACATTTTAAACAGACACCCTGCCACCTTTATATTTTGTTATAGTATATTACTGGAGTAAACAGCAAAAAAATGTTGTTGGGTTTACTGATTACTACATAAGGACACTTTGCAAAAATAAATTTAGATAGGCAATATCGTGAAATTGATTTTTTATATAGCTGAAAATTGTTTTATATGCAGCTATAACAGTTAAACATATATTGTAAAATAATAGATAAGGCAAAATTGTAAAATTAATTTAGGTTGGTATACCTGTATGTGCGGTACACCTGAATGGTTTACCTATATGGGATAACTATAGCATAAATAGCGTTAGCTTCGTGTTAGTTACTAGTTTAATCTTCCTCTTTGGTGATCGAAACACGTGTCGAAGTATTAAAAATAACGATTTGGTGTTGGGAAAAAACTCCAGTAATATTCATTACTACACCAAAGGTACCAAACAGTGCATCACAAGTTTTGTTATAGTGTTAACAAAAAGAAACGAAGACATATAGCATTGACAAAATCAAAAAACCGGCCGTCGGAGGCGGTACAAATCCACCAATATTTTTATTAGAGTCTCTGCCACCTCTATATTTTGTTATAGTGGTCACAACTGGAAATAAAGAAATATGGCAGAGATGTATTTCTTCGTTTCCATTTCTTAACACTATACCAAAACAGGAAGGTGGCAGAGTTTCTAATAAAAATATTGCTTGATCTGTACCGCCCCCGATCGCCGGTTTTTCGATTTCACCTCTGCTATATTTCTTTATTTCCAGTTGTGACCACTATAACAAAATATGAAGGTGGCAGATACTCTAATAAAAATATTGCTTGATCTGTACCGCCCCCGACAGCCGGTTTTTTGCTTTCACCTCTGACATATTTATTCATTTCCATTTTTTAACTCTATACCAAAACATGGAGATGTCAGAGTCTCTAATAAAAATATTGCTGGATCTGTATCGCCCCCTACGGCCGGTTTTTTTATTTCACCTCTGCCATACTTCTTTATTTCCAGTTGTGACCACTATAACAAAATATGAAGGTGGCAGATACTCTAATAAATACATTGCTTGATCTGTACCGCCTCCGACGGCCAGTTTTTTTATTTCGTCACTGCTATATTTCTTCGTTTCCTTTTGTTAACACTACCTGTAACAAAATATAAAGGTGGCAGGGTGTCTGATTAAAATGTTGACAGAGGTATACCGCCCACTGCTCGGATTTTTCATTTAGTTTTCACTATTTTCTATAATTTCCGTCATTTCAAATATTCATGATGTCTTCAAAATACATTTTTCACTGTATCGGCAAAGAGAATAGAAAATACAAAATATTGCTGAACTTTATTGCCAAAGTAACCGAGGTTTCAATTTTTTTGTTGCTTGGCGGGAAGACTGGAACATCTCGCGTTCGAATGTTGGCACACTAGTTCTAAATATACCGATCAGACTGGGTATCTCGATGATAATTTTTCGGAGTGACAGTGTGCTATGGGGAACACACATGTCAAACCCCATCCACGACAACGAAACAAAAAACAAGTGCATTGGAGGGCTGCAGGTAATTGTTTTCATATCTTGTGTAACGTGTGTTTTTTTTCTGAAACTTAAGACAGTGCTTATATTCTTTGTGGCATGGTGCGTTATTTATGGATACCTTGAGTCGGACTGTTGCTTGTATTTTTATCCGCGCAACATATTGTTGATTGCGGGCGAGTTCAACCGATGACAGATGCGAATGATTAGAAATTTGCAATTTTTACGGTTATCAAATACTTTTAGACTATACGGATATCTTTTCGGTATCATTGGGATTTTAAGGAATAATAATTATACACGGGTGGCAGCACTGTAAATCACATATTTGCCATCAATTTACTGAAATATCTATCTGAAAATGAGAAAATTTTGGTTAAATACAGAGTTACGGAAACATTTTATTTCCTTGGGCATACATTCCCTACTGCTAAATATAATTCGTTTTTTGGAAGCTTTGCTTTATTTTGACTGCAAAATCAAAATGTTGGATGTAACCTATTCAAGAAACACTTCATTGTGAGATTTATACTAAACAGTTTTGCAAAAACGCAACACGTGTTGCGTTTTCGCATTGTATGGCGAAACACGTGTTGAGTTTTTGTGAAACTGTTCAGTGAAAATCTCACGAAAAAATGATTTTTGAATACGTCAATATTATAAAAATTGACGTTGAGGAAATTCGAGATTGAGATCGAAAATAACAAGAGTTACATTTGAGGTGTTACTATTTTTTGGGTTTGATGGCCGTCGACTTTCAGAATTTCTTTTTGACAAAACACAAACACTATAGGAAAATCTTTGAGGCGCTCTCAGAGCGGTGCTTGTGCGAAAGTAGTGATTCATATTGGATTTGAATCGCTGGAGATTGAATACAATTTGAAAAACGTTCTCAGGAAGTTCATTCCACATGAACGCAGTTCTTCACATGAAAGAGTTCTTGAACAGTGAAGTTGGACGTGCATCGACTTGAACCTCAAAACAATCAGCAGCCACAGTCGCGTATTTCTGATATGTAGCGTTCTTGGTGGAATCAAATGTGAAAGTATCCATAGAACAGAGACAAATCTCCAACCTTTCTTCGATGTTCCCGACTCTGAAGGTTGCCAGTGATGTCTCCAATCAGGCGGATGGATTTTTTCTGGATGGAATCCAGATGGGGACAGATCTCCATACATGAGAACAATAATCCAAAGAAAGTCTGATCTGAGCTTTATAAAGCATCAGAAGTTGCTGAGGTGTGTTTTTTGTACCTTGGGAGCTGTCTGACTTGTCCATTTAGTCCAAGTCCCCAGAAAACACTGCAGCCTCTTGTGCTTATTGCGTTTATTCTCCCATCTTCTCATGACACTCATCCCATCAGTCTCGTTTTCTGTACTAGTTTGTACAGGTTGCGTGTTGGATGTTCGTCATATTCTTTTGGGCGTAGTTTTGTACGTAGTTTTGTACGCCTGCCTCCTGTGATTCAGTGCCTCACATTCGCATAAGATGTGTAGAGCTGTTTCTATCCCTTCGTTGCATAATCTGCAGCTGAGGTCTCCGTTGTACAGCCCCATTTTATTCAGGTGTCCTCTAAGCGGTCAATGACCGGTTAGTAACCCTGTAATTATTCTGAGCCGATCTCTACTATATTTTGAAGTAGTTCTTCAGTTCTTTTCTCGACGGTTCCCTAATGAAGGTTCTACTGTGTTTGTTGACAGGTACTTTTTTCCAGTACTCTGTGTGCTTCTTATTGGTCCATGTCCTAATCTGGTTTCGTACCAATGATTTTGGTACCCCCAGAGCTGGTTCAGGACCTATATATGGAGTTGATGATCCTCGTCTAGCGCATTCATCAGCTTCATCATTACCTGTGATTCTTGAATGCCCTGGCACCCAGTACAAAGTTAATTTGTTCCTGTTTGCAAGTTCATTCAGTTCTTCATGGCATTTCCAGTCCAGTTTTGATGTCACCTTCGGGTTTGTCAGAGCCCCTAGTGCGCTCCTGCTGTCTGTAAAAATATTGATCTGCTGCTGAGGTGTGTACAGTTTTCTGGTTCGGAACAGTGCTCCAAGCTTTGGGGAAGCAGTCTTTGCAATTCCAGCGACTTGATTGTGCCAAGACATTGGTGTCCATTTTAACCCCCAACAAACTTATAGAAACAGAAAGTGGAATTGTCTGACCTGATATTATTATATCCGGTTCGGAAACATTTATTTTCTTGGGGAAAACTGATGCCTGGGTTTTTGTGGCATTGAATTGAACCTGGTTACTCTCACGACTGCGTAAAGCGTATCTATGTTGACTCAGGTAGTTTGGTGTGCTAATACTTGTACCAGGATAAGCACCTTTTTTTACTTGTCGTCATGATGATTGCTATTCTTGAACTTCTCGGAATGATATTCCATATTCGGTTGAGTTTCAGAGCTTCTGGTATCTCTGATTGGAGGCAATGAGTTTCGTGTTTTCAAACAAGTCGGTATCCTTATGGTATCCCCAACCAGGGATACCATAGCCGACTGGTACGAGAGACGATAGAGATCCACAAGCACACGGATGATTTCAAAAGTAAAGAAAAAGCTGTGAATCAAAACCGAATATGGAATCATCCTGAGAAGTTCAAATATAACAAACAGCATGACGGAAGGTAGAAAAGGGTTCTAAATTGACAATTTGCCTGATTTAGGTACTGGTATAAGCACACCAAACTACCTGAGTCAACATAAATACGCTTTACGCAGTTGTAATACCCAGTCATTGGAGATAAATCTAAAATGTATAAATTTCTGAAAAAGCTAGCTACTTGCGTCAGCGAAACGTCAAGAAGACATTCCAAAAATCGACGGCCTTCAAAACCAAAAAATAGTGACACCGAAAACCTCGGTCACGAAAGCCCCAACCATTTTGTAAGTTATTTTTGACCCATTTGAAATGGAGTATCTGTTGGCACAGTATGCTTCTCGAAATTCTGGAACATAACATTGTCCCTGCATAGTCTACCCTGGATAAGCCCCATATTCGCCCCATCTTAATTTTTCCAATTTGGTTATTCATGCCTTCAATCTTGAGATATTCTCGTTAGGTAAACGATCTATGATTCCAGTTTTGTTTTTGGATCACCTAGACCAGTCTAGTTTCACGAAAGCTTTGATTTAGCACCTGGTTCCAAATCACACTTCCCAAGTTTGATGTGACCTTGGGGTTGATTAATTCTTCATTCCATCGCTGTTTATTTTTTTTAAAAATTGTCTGGAAAACTAATATTTTCAAATATATGTGGCGGTTTTCCTGTGTACTCTCACAACCAATGGTGAATTGAAACATTTGGATTCTGATTTCTGACTTCACAAAGATTTGTAGATCATTATCAAAAGTTTCTTCTCAAAGGTTACATTACTAGAAGCAATATTCTTTATATTGGTGAATTAACCAAACTTCTTCACCGATTGTCTTCTTGAAGTTGGATTTCATTTCTGCAAAATCATTATTTCAGTCGAATTAAAAGGGAATCATGATTCTTCATAATCAGTCCATTCAATCCTTGGAGAATATTTTTCCAACTCAACGAAAAAAGAGCAAAAATTGCCTCTTTTGGTGACATGGAGTCGTAATCTCATGTTAGAAATCCATCGTTTCATTTATGAAAGTTCAATAAGGTGCTATGGGGGAAAGTAGTTTCAACCCGAAATTTGTACTTATACACCATGCTGTATGAAATTTTATGTCAATACTCTCACTTATATTACGTTGTGGTATCTGTTTCAATTTCATTAAAGATATTTGGATTGAAAATTTAATGAAAAAATTATTTTCAGGTAGGTAATTCAGTTTTCATATCAATTTTTTGTTTGAAGAGGGAAAAATGGAAAGCCAAAATGCATTTTCAGTTTCATAAACTGAGTTACAGGATATATTTTCATCGTAATAATCTATTGTACTAATGACTTGAATTTAGTAATTAAATTTTTTTGCTTCCTAGTTCTGGAGACTTTCCAAGTTAAGAACGTAATATCAATTCTGGAACGCTACTAAATCAGTAAGTTTTACGAGGACATATAAATAATCAGTTCAAACTGTGACAGTTCTAAAAACACGGAATATCGCTTCCATGTTGTGGAAGAATTTGAATCTTAAGTTAATAATTGACTATCATCATATTCAACCTTAGATTTTTCGCAAAAGTAATATTGAAATTAATAATCAATTAATAATAATTTTTCTGTTAGAATATGTAATTATATTTTGAATTTACCCTTTACTAGCAAACCGACGCGGCTTATCAGCTTGTCCATAAAAAAGGTTCTCGTTTTCTCATAACGGGAGCTTTTGAAGATATATGGGCTGAAAGTTCCAATACCAAACATTTGGAAAAGTTCTGAAACAGAAGAGAACACTCTAGAGTATTCAGAAAACATTCCACAAGATACCAGATATAGGGTCAGAAAGTTTCACCCTCCAGAATTTTTTAGAATTATCCAAGAATATTCGATATTATTCGAGAACATTCTACAACATTTTGGATCATTCTGGAATACTATGGAAATGTCCTGAAATAACCAGGAAAGTTCCGGAATATCCTCGAACATTCAATAACAAGACGTTCAATTGCAGTATATTGATCCTTTTTCCCTTATCCAAGAAAAATGTTTCCATTTTCACTTGAATGACATGCTTTGGAAGATATAGTTTAGGTTAGGTCCAAAGTAAGTAGGTCTATTTGACTATCCACCGCAACACGTAAGGGTTTATTGTGGCTCACACCTATTTACACTCGACCAAATAAAACCAGCTACTTAACGAAGCCGATCAATTTGTATGGTGAGTGGTCTTTCAGGTCAGATGGTTAGAGTACGGCTCTGACAAACTCTAAAAACCTGATTCGATCCCCATCGCGGCAGGCCACAAAGGTGCAAGATTCCCACCTTGATACCCGCGACAACCTTCTCATTTGCACGTCAGCTACACCTGACGATGCTTCAGATTTAACCGTGCAGGGCTTTTTCGCCTCTAGTTTTGATGAATCATCATTTGAGCGCGAACGTTTG